CTAAATGTCTCAGTAAGTAACAGAATGGCTGATTATGAAATTGATGAAAAAAGGTAAAAGACTAATGAAAGAAATTAAAGGAGTGATTATGTTTTCACCAGAGGCTGGTTTGAGTGGAGACTCATTAGGAATTAACTGACATTCTCAGGGAAGCCTGCCTGCATTGGGATCCGGGAAAATGAGGTCGTTCTCAAGGAGACCCATCCAAACAGATGGGCGCTTTGGGCTTAGGGGTCTGGGTAGGCTGGAATGATGTGGGTTACTGACACAATTGTCCACTTGTCTTTGCATGTGTAGACACAGACTTTGCGTAGGCACATGGAGTGGACTGAAAGCCTGGGCACTTTGTTTGCAGCAGATGAGAACTTTCAGTGGAGAGCCTCTGATCTCCTCCTGGATGTTCTCAAAATTCAGTGTGCTTCAAAGCTCAAACCAGGCTTTCCATACAAGCTGTCTGACCATCCAGACCTTCCTGGTCAGCTCCATTTGCTACACCTACCACAACAGCAACCACACCATCCATCTGGTATCCCTGATCTGCTTGGCCTCACTCTAACATGCCTACAGTTTCCACCTTCATGTTCATGCTGTATCCTATATGTGGCACACTCCTACTCAGACTTCAAGATCTTGTTTGAGTACCACTTTCTTTTGAGAGCTTTCTCTCTTACCCAAGGCATGATTGGTAACTGTCCTTCTCCTGACTTCCAACAAAATACAGTGTGGAGAAATGGACATTCTGCGGTCAAAATGTTCTGAGCGCAAACCTGACACTTGTACCTGTTAGCTGTGTGATCTTAGAGAAACTAGCTCATCTTCTTGAGGCACAGTCTCCTGATACTTCAAATAAAGCTGTTAATTCCCTAAATTTCTGAGGATCATCAGTGATACTGTATTGCCAGCTTTCTTTTATTTCTTTTTGTGAGCTCCTTGAAATGACAGACCTTGCATTTTTAATTACTTTGCTGTCCTACAAGGCATCTAGCACAATGCCTGCTGTTTTCTAGCAGTCAATAATTTTAAATCAATGGATAGTTCTGGAAAAATAACCCAAGCACGGTTAGGTCAATTAAAGTCTAAGTTCTATGAAGTGCTCTCTGGTCATTCCTATACACATTAATTTGAATTCTCATAGCTCTTATACATACTACTGAGACAATTGTCACAACCTGCTTCATCCACACTGACTGATTTTTAAGCTTCTCCAGGGCAGCAAGCATGGCTTTCCCTTTGAATTCATGTTTCACAATGTGTTAATGCCAGCTCATGATAGGTTCCTCAAATATCCCATTCTCCTTCTCATTCCAAGGAGTTTTCTACTTCAGTTTATTTTTTTTAAAAGATTTTATTTATTTATTTATTGAGAGAGCGCACATACAAGCAGGGGGAGGGGCATAGGCAGAGGAATAACCAGGCTCCCTACTGAACAGGGAGCCCAGTGCAGGACATACTGAACAGGGAGCCCAGTGCAGGACTCCATCCCAGAACCCTGGGATCATGACCTGAGCCGAAGGAGGATGCTTAACTGACTGAGGCACCCAGATGCCCCTTCTTCCTCAGTTTATGTTGAGTTTACCCCTAGATGCCAGACTGAGGTTTCTGAAATAATAATGAAGTTCTGTAGTCCATGTCATTGGCTCAAGGTGAGTGGCTTTTCCTGACCCAACTTCTCAGCTCTCCCCACAGTGGTCTTTCTCTTACTTTAGCACACTTTCTCTTCATTGTCTTTTATTTTTTACCCTAAGCAAGAGTCTTCTCATTGATGTATTGTACTCATGGGGATTTGGAAAACTTTGATTTATTATTTCTTAACTCATAGGTTCTTGGAGAATTACTTCTGGGAGGCATCTTAAAAATCATTGAACCTAGGGACCTCAAACACACAACAATTCTCAATGTTGGCTAGGAATGAATAGTCAATCATAGCATATATATTTTTTTTCTCCTGCTGAGGTCATACATGATCTCAGAATCATTTTCAACAAAATATTCCAGGTAGAAATTATCAATCAACAAGAAACTATCAATCCATCATCTCAACCAATCCACCTTATAGGAAGTGAAACTTGCCTGACGTCGTTGCTGCAGTGCAAAGCTGTTATTTTGCCAATGAGGCCCAAAGAGCAGTGGTGAATTAATAATAAACTCAAACTAGAACCCAACTTACTTGACCCTCATGACTGTGGTCCAGGCTTTCCCTTTCCACATGGTCACTGGTCCTCCTTCAATAGTCATTCAAGTCCTAGAATTTATAGTTTATTTTCTTGGCATTACCTAATAGTATATGACAATATGATTAAAAAGCACAATATACATGTCTTAGCCTTATCAAAATGACATCTGAGCTCTCATAGATGTTATAAGCTCTTGAAGAGAAGGGCCTTTGTTTCACTTTGCATCTTTCACAAGTTCTAGCCCTGTGTCTGGCATATGGTAGGTATTCAACAAAAATTATCTGATATATGTTCAACTACATATATGAGACAAACAGGAGCTCTATCCTTAAATTCTCACTAAGAATCAGTGAAACAGTATTTATTTGAAAGGACTCCATGCATGCTGACACATACCCTCACTTTTTTTCTTAAGAGGGACACCTTACGTCTAAATAAGTTCTCGTTTCACCCGAATATTTTAGGGGAAAGTAAATGTAATGTCAATGACTGGGCTGCCCTGTGACACTTCTACTTCAAAACACGAGGAGCAGCGTTGTGATTTGGGGCTCAAAGGCCCTGAGGAATGATAGCCTTTCTTCTTTTTGTTTTTCATGGTGACATCTATTGACCATAACTCTTGTGATGCTCACAAGCCAGAGTTGTTAGGAGGAGAGAGAGATGAAGGAAAGGAGATGAAGGACAAGAGCATAGGAAGAGAGAAGGGTAGGCAGGGGGTAATATTTTACAATACAGCAATGAGACACTTGTTTTACTACTTAAAAATAGATTGTAAAAGCTGCATAAGCCTCAGCTGACATCATACTTAATGGTGAAAGATAGAATGCTTTCCTTTAAGGCCAGGAACAAGGCAAGGATGGCTGACCTTGCCACATCTACCGAATATTGATCCACAGGTTCTAACCAGGGCATTCAGGCATGACAAAGAAATAAAAATCATCCAGATTGAAAAGAGAGAGGTAAAACTCTCTTTTTATACATGACATGATTTTGTATGTAGAAAGTGCTAAGGAATCTACCAAAAAAAAAAAAAAAAACCAAACCCCCAACCCCCCCCAAAAAACCCCTATCAGAACTAATAAATAGGTTCAGCAAGGTAGGAGGATATGATTGATATACAAAATAATTACATTTCTATACACTTGAAATGAACAAAAATGAAACTGAGAAGATAATCCACATGTAAAAAAAATGAAGAAATTGGAATCCTACTTCATATCATATACAAAAACTAACTCAAAATGGACCAAACACCTAAATGTAAGAGCTAAAACTATAAAATTTTTAGAAGAATATATGGAATTTATCAAAATTAAAAACTTTTGTGAATCAAAAACTAGCAAGAGAGTGAAAAGACAACTTACAGAATGAGACAAAATAATTAAAAAGCATACATTTGATAAGCAATTGATTTCCAGAATATATAAGGAATTTCTGTAATTCAACAGCAACAAAAAAGCCCAATTTAAAAATGAGCAAAGGATCCGAATAGACATTTCTCCAAAGAGAATTTAGAAATGGCCAATTAGCACATGTAAAAATGCTCAACACTGGTAGTCATTAGAGGAATGCAAATTGCAATTACAATGAGATACCACTTTCAACCAAATAAGCAGAAAGACACATAACAACAAGTGTCAGTGAGAATATGGAAACACTGGAACTTTTATGCACTGATGTTGGGAATATAAACATGTATAACCACCTTGGAAAACAGTCAGGAAGTTCCTTAAAACATGAAGCATAGAGTTATCATAAGACCCAGAAATTCTACTCTTACGTATATACCCGATGGAAGTAAGAACACTTGTCCACACAAAAATGTATACACAAATATGCACTGCAGCATTATCCCTAGTAGCCAAAAAGTGGAAAGATCCCACATGTCCATCAACAGAAGACGGATAAATTAAATGAGATGTATCCTTACAATGGGCTATTGTTTGGCAATGAAAATAAATAAAGTGCTCATACATGCCATAATATCTGTGCACGCGAACATTATGTGAAGTGAAAGGAGCAGTCACAAAAGACCACATAGTATATAATTCCATTTATATAAAATATCCAGAATAGGCAAATATATAGACAAAACCAGTAGTTGCCTAGGGTTGGGGAGGGTGGAGTTGGAGGTGTGGCTGGGGGCCATGGGAAGTGATGGCTATAGGGTTTCTTTATGGGGTGGTCAATGTTCTCAAACTGATTGTAGGGATGACTGTTTAACTAAATATACTAAAACCTCTGAACACTGTACTTTAAACTAGTGAACTGTATGGTATGCGAATTTTAGCTCACTAAAGCTGTTACTAAAACAGATACATGTGCATGTAATACTTTAATTTTAGGGACTAAATTTCACCCGTTAATTCTATGTCTGTCACAACAATCCATGTATTCACTTAGATGATCCATATATATACTTCCAGGACAACTGTCTTAGTTTAGAATATGTTAACAGACTACACAGATTTGTGAAGAGCAGGTAGGTATCTTTTATGAAATCCATCCTTTTAAAACATTTAATTTAAAAGAAAAAATTAAAGAAATGAAAACACTAAGCTGTCTTTTCTTCAGCGTAATCACTACATCACCTTCATCAACACATCATTTCTGTGGACCGCTGGCAGGTTTACCCTCAGTATTTAATATATTTACCACAAATCTATTTCATCAGAGATTACATTATTACTTTTAGCAGTATATTTATAACAGTACTCTCCTGTCTGGTAGCTCCATCATTTCTTTGCTACTGAAAACCTGAATGTTAATTATAGCTAAACCCAAGGCAGTTGAGAGAACTTAGTAATTCGATTATTTTGTACCTACCCCTTTTGAATCAATCACTCCAGGTTTTGCATTAAACTTCACTGTCTTCAACCGGGCACGCTCCTTTCTTTCCACCCTAAAGAAAATTGAAAATAAAGAGCTGATCGCATGGCAAGGCATTTATGAGTAAGTTCCTTACTAAATGAAGAATCTCTCTTCTCATCCTACAGCTCAAATACAATGTGTCCTAAAGTATTCCCGTTCCTTGGTTCAGTATAAAAAGTCTTGCTATGTGGTCTCTAGGAGGCTAACACATCCCTTGAAACTTCTGTGTGATGTGTACTGAGAGTCATAGTGATTGGAAGAAACAAAGAGGGAGGAAAAACTATTATTTGTTACTTAAATGCCTGAATAACTCAACCAAAAATCTATTACAAGAAATCACAGTCCACAGAGATGAAAACCTACTATGGAGACTAAATAAACTTCTTCCCTCTCCTCTGTCCCCTCTGCATACCTCCTCTCCCCCACTCTTTTCTTTTGGTTTCCTTTTTCTTCCCTTCCCTTTAGTGATGTGAGGGTATTTTACCTTCACCTCAAAATCAAACATGTTATAGGTCATCTTGAATTTTTTCCTTTTCCCCAGTGCTGTACTCCTGTTATCTCTGCAGACTTCATCATTGTACCTGACACTTCATTCATTCATCAAACACTCATCAAGTGCCTACCATGTATCGAGCAAGGAGCCCGGGAACAAAGCAAAAAAAGAAAAAAGAAAAAGAAAAACCATGACTGCAATCAACACCCAGGAATGTGCTCCTGGTAGGAACAAAGACATAAAGAGACCAATATGCTGCACAGAAAGACTCCTGACAGCAACGGGGGGCATCTATCTCACTGAAGGCTGAGAAGGAGGGGTAGAAAGCATTGGGGTCGGCTTCCTGGAGGAGGTGTCAATTTATGTGATGCTTGAAGGACGAGAAAGAGCTTGTTGGCAGGAAAAGTTCAGGGAGAATTTCCCAGACAGGAGACACATACTATGACCCAAAGATAATAGGCAAGTGAGAGATTGTGGGAAGATTCTGCTATAGGGTATAATATAGGATGGGATGTAAGAAAGTGAGGTGGTTGGGCCTCCTTATAAAAATACCCATCCACACTAAGGACTTGGGCTTTTTCCTTGGGGAATCCTCGTGTGTTTTGAGAGGATAGAAAGCAGAGAAGTGATCAAATGGGTTAGCACTGGAATAAATGACTGTAGTGGAGGAAGAAGACAGGCTGCAGGAGAGAAGGGACAGTGGGAAGCAGGAGTTTTGTTGAGAAGTTACTGCCACAGCCCAGGCAAGAAATGACAATGAGGTAGAAGGGAGGGAAGGGCTTGAGAAACAGTAGTAAAGTGAAATTGGTAAGATGTGTGCCTATTTGAAGGATGGGGTTAGAGGGGCACCTGGGTGGCTCAGTGGGTTGAGGTCTCTGCCTTCGGCTCAGGTCATGATCCTGGAGTCCTGGGACTGGGTCCCACATCAGCCTCCCTGCTTGGTGGGGAGTCTGCTTCTCCTTCTGACCCTCTCCCCTCTCATGCTCTCTCTCTCTCTCTCTCTCTCTCTCTCTCTCTCTCTCTCTCATTCTCTCTCAGATAAATAAAAAAATTCTTTTTTTAATAGATTTTATTTATTTATTTGACAGACAGAGATCACAAATAGGCAGAGAGGCAGGCAGAGAGAGAGAGAGGGATGCAGGCTCCCTGCTGAGCAGAGAGCCTGATGCGGGGCTTGATCCCAGGACCCTGAGATCATGACCTGGGCCAAAGGCAGAGGCTTTAACCCACCCAGGCGCCCCAAATAAATAGATTCTTTAAAAAAAAAAAAAGAGGTAAAGAGAAGCTAATTATCTCCTTGATTTTTTGTCTGCTGGAGTCTCTCCAGTTAGACATGATCACTCCTTCCTTTAAACACCACAGGACTTATTTGTATCTTCATGTTGGTATCATCTCTTGTTTCCTTGTGTTTATTTTCCCAGCGCACACACAAAGCTGGACGTTCCTTGAGGGCAATCCCACATGTCACTCAGCAGCATCCTGGAGCAAGTCCTCAATAAACTACTGTTCACTAAAATAATCCTTCATGCGTTGTTCTGACTTGACAGTTTGTTTAAATATGGCCAACTCGAATTTCAAAAACGGGGAAAGAAAAGAGAAGAAAAACCCTGAATCTACAGAAATTAAAGGTTTATAAAATCTAAGCTATTCATAGATCAATAATTAACAACATATTGCTTTTTAACTGAGAGCTCTTTTGTGTTCCCAGTTGAAACACAGTGCAGATCGGGGTTTCTATAGTTACAGAAACAGAGTTTCAGAATATATTTTGGTGCGAGAGGAGAATAGCTGAGTGGAAACAGCCGAACAAAAATTTTCATATCTTAACCCTCAGATATTAAAGCAATATGTTCCGCTGAGAGTCTCTACATACAACAGTTGGGAAGAGCACCAGGAAGACTTCAGGGAAGGTGAGCTGCCAAGTGGAGAGATGCTCACTCAGAAAATGTCTGTTCTGAGCAACTTCAGCTCTTCTCGGTTTTAATCCAAATGCAAACGGTAATTCATATTCATCTCTTCGGATCCTTCTAAAACTGTTCTTACAGCCCTGACTTTATCCTGGCTTCTTTGCATTAAACAGGATAATTATGGGAAACACTAGTACCTTGGACGAAGCTAACATGACACGCGGAGGCTCCATGGTTTTTGAACAGGCTCTACAGGAAATTCTGCACAGACCCACAGAACTCACAGGGGTCCGAAACATATACGAGGCTGAAGTCAGGATTCTAAGAACTGTTTGGATAAAGCATTCTAATTTTTACCCCCTGGTTTCCAAGGTCACCCTTTTCAGATTTCTTTAGAAATGTCCCTATTAGGCCATCTTTAGTGATTCATCTCTTCCATCTTCACAGGGTTCCAAAGAATGTGAAGTCAGATGGACACAGACACACACACCCACCCACCCACCCACCCACCCACCCACCCACACACACACACCCACCCCTATTATTTGCTATGGTTTATTAATCTTCAAACAGGCAACAGAAAAGAAGCCACAATTTTTAAAGTATTACTGTAGGTGGCCTGGTTTCGACTCACTCATGAATGAAATCAGAAAGTTTTGTTTTCTCTTGGGGTTGGAAGTTTCATAAATAATGATAATGATAATGTAAGTGTCGGCCGAAGTTTTAACATATAATTATTAGTGAAAAATTCCTGTATATTTATATCCTCTCATTTGCTTCTCACAATAACCAAGTGATGTAGGTATTACTGACCCCCATTTGATGGCTGGGAAAGCTGAGACTGGAAGTGTGCCAAGTTTAAAAAGTGGTAGAAATAGGGCCTGAACACACAGGTGCTAAAAGCTAACCTGAGTGTCTGTTCACATCTACTCAGTTTGGGAAACAGCACTCAGGATCTTCCATGTCTCTCTTCTACAGTGGGAATTCTCAACACAAATGAGATTTTGGATGAGTCATACACAGTTTTAAGGCCAATACAATTCTTCAGAAATCTGTATTACCGTTTTTCACAAATGATAACCAGCCTTCTCCATTTCATCCCCATATCCCAAATGTCCTGAATTAAATAAACCATAACCAAATGCAAGCATATAATCACTTACATAACACCATACTATAACAGGCTAGGCTTTACTTTTTTTTTTTTTTTAAGAGTGTGAGAGCTGGGGAGAGGAAAGAAGGGCAGAGGGAGAAGAGAGAGAATCCTAAGCGAACTCCATGTCCAGTGTGGAGCGCGTTGAAGGGCTTGATCTCATGACCCTGAGATCGTGACCTGAGCTAAAATCAAGAGTCAGACACTGAACGGACTGAGCCACCCAGGTGCCCCTGGGCTTTAAAATTTAGAATAAATTTTAATCTTGAATTAGGTTAGGTAAATGACTGTATGCAGCATTATACTTATTGAATTATATCATAAATATTGAATTACTTTCTCTCCTTGGCAGTCTTTTTTGCATTCACTGTAACCCCATCATAGTTTTGCTTTCCCATCACGGGGCCCATCTTGATTAACTCTCTCAGTGGTAGGTGGCTGTGGCTTGTTTTCTCCTACCTACCCCAACCCCTTCCTCTCTTCTGGTGCTTCTTGGGTTGTAGGTGGATAATTTATTGCTCAAATGAGAGTCAGGGCTGGCAATAGGTAAGTCAGTGCTCTGAATAATGGTGTGTTCTTTCAAGAACTAAAAGCGCAAATGCGAAGAAAGGAAAACACCCATCATTTGAGTGTGTACGAAGTATTTGATGTTGTCCTAAGCACTTTGCCTATATTACCAATAACTGCACAGTGATCCAGGGCTTAAGATGGAGCTGGGCATATAGCAGGAACTTCAAGAATCTTTGTTCAATAAATGAATGAACAAATGAGCAAACGCATGAATAAACCCTCAAGGAGCGTTCTTGACCTGGTTGTGAAAATTGAGGCTCAAGAGTTAACTGACTTACCCTCGAATAGTGTTTTCAATAAAAAAAATTATTTACCAATTCATGACTTTTTCACTTGGTAAGAATCTATGTAAAGTTTAGCATCACCTTCTCTATTTATGTTATTAAGTAAGACTCCTTCAGCAGAAGTAGATGATATTAAAGCCCACTAGCCTTTACCTAAGGGAATGGCAGACCACCTATATAGAAAGACTGAATCGAAACGAGAAGTACTGCCTTACTTCTCTCACACTCAAGAGGCAAGCAATTAATTAGATTGTTTAAGCAGAAATAATCCTCTCCACCCCAGTTTGGACACTGACCAAAATACTGAAAATGTAAACTGGATGGCAAAATCTGAGCAATCGCTTCTGACAGTTAGCATCTCCAGGGAGTACCAAATGGTCATGCTTCCACGAGCCCAATGGTCTCCTTCTGCCCTCTCACCCACTTCCCATCTGGCGTTTTCAGGTCCTGGCCAAACACACAATGATGTCAGGCTTGGAGCACTGGATGGCAGGATAATCATTTAGTGCTGGATGTTGCTGTGCCCGTGCTCTGCAAGGATGGAAATGCCATGCACGTGACTGGCCACAAGCTCTCTGTGAAGGTTAGGTGAGTAAACCTTCATGCAGTGCTAGCTACAAACCTGTCCTCTGAGAGCCCAGGGGACCATCAGTATGGGGCGATGAATAAAGACTCAGACTAAAAGACTGTGGAACAAATCATATCTTGGCCACTCACAAAAACTACATAGTCTCAGGAAAGAGCAATTCTAGGCTAAGAGCCCAGGTTTTGAAATCATACAAGTCTGGGCTGGAATCCTGCATCTGCCACTTATCAGCTCTGTGAGTCAGGGCAGGTCATTCAGCCTCTTAGGGTCTCAGGATTTATGTTGGTAAACTGAAAGTATTGACAGACTTCAAAAAATTACAGTGAATGTTAAAGAAGATAATACAAAAATTGTTTAGCACAGTATCTGCTACATATTAAGAACTCCTAATTGACAGTTCTAATGGACTCTTGGTACAGTGGAAAGCCCTGTGGTCTTGCTATCAGAGAGACTTGGGTTCAGCCAGTAGTTGGTTGCGCACCCTTGGGCAAGTTACTTGACTTCTTGGACCCTCCGTTTCCTTATGAGGCTTTTGTGAAGATGAAATAAAATTCTGTATTTGAAAGTACTTGCCACCATACAGGGTTGGTGCTATTATCAGATGGAATTTGTCCCCCTGTCTGCTGTCCTTTCATATCCCTTGACCCCTGCTACGGACTGAATGTGTTGGCCTTCCTGAGTGGGATTAGTGCCCTTATAAGAAGAGACATGAGAAATAATCTCTCTTTTAGCCATGTGAGGGTACAGTGAGAAAGCTATCTGTGAACCAGGAAGAAGGCCCTCACTGGGAATCCAAATAACCAGTGCCTTGAATTTGGACTCTCTAGGCTTTCAGAACTATGAGAAATAAATGTCTGCTGTTAAAGCACCCAGTCTATGGTTTGTTATGGCAGTCCAAGCTGACTAGGACAGTGCCTTTAGTTACTGTGAGCCCTCATTAACGTAATCACCGTGTGGCTGTGCCTCAGTCACACGTTTAGTCCCACAAACGTGACGCCAGCTGGGCTCCAGTGACCCAATGACAGTGCTTGGCACACAGACACTGCTCAAACCATGCTTGCTGATTTAGATTTTGCCAAGTCTTATTTTTGTAACTTGGGGAGGCAGGACTGCATGTAAGTTCAGGGTATCAATTCTGCTGGGGTGCCTGGTGGCTCAGTTAGTTAAACATCCAACTCCTTCTTAAAAAAAAATTTTTTTTTATTTATTTGTCAGAATGAGAGAGAGAGAGAGAGAGAGAGAGAAAGAGCATGAGCAGGGGGAGGAGTGGCAGGGAGAGGGAGAAGCAGGCTTTCCACTGAGTAAGGAGCCCAAAGTGGGGCTCCAATCTAGAACCCTGAGATCATGACCTGAGCTGAAGGCAGATGCTTAACTGACTGAGCCACTCAGGCGTCCCTAAGCATTCAACTCTTGCTTTTGGCTTAGGTCATGATCTCAGGGTCATGGGATTGAGGTCCACGTTGGGCTCCATGCTGGGTGTGGAGCCTGCTTAAGATTCTCCCTCTCCCTCTCCTGCTGTCTGTCCCCCTTCCTTCTTTCTCTCCCCTTCACTAAAAAAAGAAAAAGGAAAAAAAAAAGAGCATCAATTCTGTAGCCTGGATTCAAATCTAGGTTCCGCTACTTACTTGTTGGGCAATTTCAGGCAATTTAGTTAACCCCTCTATGCCTCAGTCTTTTGATTTGTAAAATGCACATACTATTATAACATCTCTCAAAGGGTTGTAATGAGGTTTAAATGAGTACATTGTAAAGGGCTTAGAACAGTGTCTAGCATGTTCCAGGAGTGTTTTAACTAAAATTTCTTCACCATCTTCAAAAAAAGAAAGAGGACGGAAGTAATCTTCATACTCTCCATCACGGTTTCATTGGGATGATTAAATGGGATCATCCATAGAGAAGCATTTTTGTAACGGGTCAAGTCATGCCCTGTTGTTATCCATTACAAGATTTTCCCAGACCAGTTCTACTAGCTGAACTGTACTCAGAAAAGAGGCTAGCAAGGAATTAAAGACTGAAAAATTTAACCCCAGTCTAAAAGTAAATCCTATTTGTACCCGCTCCCACGTATTCTGAGCTAGAGTTGTAAGATGCTAAATGTAGTGTGAAATGAGAAAGCCCTGCAATAAGAACTCTTCATAGGGTAGGATTATAAATGATTTTTATTTCTTTTTTGTACTTCTCAAAAATTTCCCACTTGCCTACAATGAAATGTGCTATAGAAACATCTGAAATAATAATATTTTTTGAAAGGATTAAATTCTAAGGAGAAAAGTTGACAGAAACTCATTTATAGGCATAAACACACACACACACACACACACACACACACACACACACGGATAACAATCATGAGATTAGAATGCAAATAAATATCAACATTAGAGTCACTAGACAAACTTCCTTTTCAGGCTTGTTGTAGTGTATTTGTTAACATGGTTTTTATCCAAGATAGGAAAGATAGCCAACTTAAGAAGGACCACCAGGAGGTGGAAAATTGCCTCAAGAGGAATAGAACTGAGAATGTTCCTTGGGGGGAAAATGAAGTATAATCGAACAAATGAAGGGCTATTGACAGGGCTGGTTAGAATCACAGAACTTCTGGGTTGGAAAGGGCCTGGAAAATTGCATAGTTCAACTCTCTATCCAAAGCTTGAATCCCTTTTATTATATTTCCTGACACCAGACCTTCTGTTATCAGAATCACCCCGAGGGATTTACAAACAAATAGAGATTTCCAGGACCCACTCCAGATGGATGGAATTAGAGTATTTGTATGTGTGTGTGTGTATGTGCGTGTGCGTGTGCGTGTGCATGCCTGTGCACACACAGAGGAGAGGCTCCAAGAGGGAGGAAGTGGGCACATCTAAGATTTTATAATGCTCCCTTGCTATGAAAACCATGGTTCGGTTCAGTATCTTCCCACGTAATCCATACCATCTCTACACAGCTCTGACTAGTAAAAGAGTTCCTTTAAAATGAGCTGAAATCTCTTCCCACATAGCTTTCCTTCCTCCGCTCCGCTTCTATCCTTGGGGCCATATTCAGTAAGATAGCTCTTTCTTCTCAGAGCAGCCGCTCTGACAGCTCTGGTGAATTAAATCAAAGCAACCCAAAATGCACGTTGTCTTGACTCTTTTTTTTTTTTTTAGTAAATGGAAATGGAAAAACAGAATCTAAACTAGTGCCGAGAGTCACTGCTTTGAATATATACCCTTTGAGAAAACCCCACAAGCCAGAGTACAAATCCAGAATGTCCTCTCAAAGCAATGTGAGGCAACTATTGTGGAGCCCAGAGGTTTTTAAATTTTTTATAATTTTTTTAATTAAAAGATTTTATTTATTTGTCAGAGAGAGAGACAGAGAGACAGAGAGACAGAGAACATACAAGCAGGGGCAATGGCAGGCAGAGGGAGAAGCAGGCTCCCTGCTGAGCAGGGAGTCAGACAGGACTCTGTCCCAGGACTCTGGGATCATGACCTAAGTCGAAGGTAGGTGCTTAATGGACTGAGCCACCCAGCTGTCCTGAGCCCAGAAGTTTAAAGAGACCTCAAGAACCGTGTGTTGGTGGGCGATCCACCCAGGGGTACAGAGGACAGGGAGGTTCTCTCGAGTTTTGGTGGCTTCTTTGTGACTCCTCCCCACTAACCGTGAGGGAGCCGCTGTGTGACAGTCAGCCTGCTGCCCTCTCCCTGCATTCCTTCCTGGGCTGTGTGGATACAGGCAGAGAAGGATGGGGGACCAGTCTTCTCTGGGGTGCCAACGCCCCACAGAGTGATTCTTGCCGTAAGCAACACCTTCCTACTTCGGTTTGTGCTGGCTCAGTCGCTGGGTCACGGCATGAGAGCATCAGCTTCACTGAGGACTCTTCACAGAGGTATTTGGGGTGTTTGGACAGAAGAGGAAAAGCCCTTAGAGAAACCTGTAGCTTGAGAAAAGTTGGTGACTGCCTTGAATAAACGTTCTTCCTGACTTTAATTTCATAACCATATCTTCTTCCTGGTGGTACAGACAGCAGTGTTTCATGGACGGTATCTTGGTGCCAAAAAGAGGCTCATGGGAAGGAAAGTTCCTCCCTGGACATGATGACTAGAAGCTGCTGGGATGCATGAGGGAGCTGGCTGTTCCAAAGTACATTCCCACCTAGCTGAAGAAATGTTTAGAAGAGAAAGAGCATGGTACTCTTGACTCAGGAAACACATATAGAACTAAGTATATGACTGAGTGAAAGTGGGAGTTGTGGGGTGGGTGTGGGGGGACAGGAGTCACTAAAACAGTAAAAAACAGTTATAAACCCAGTCTCAGACCTCACCACACTTTCGAGAGCTCATATCCCAAGCATCTCAGTTTGGAATGAAGGTTTTTAGTTTGTCTCCCATTAGTGTTTCAACATAATGCATGGTAGGACCTTTGCTTAGGAAATTGTACTTTACTGGGCTTTCACCTGACCTTTCTGTGAAGTTATCTGGTAAATGTGAACCTCTGGAATACAGCTGAGTGTGTAAGTCAGCGTACTGACAAGATAATCTCAAACATGTGGATGCTGGTAAATGGTTTAGGAAGGTGGTGTAAGCAGATCCCCTTCCTTTCTTTCTGCCTTACCACAGCCACCAGTTTTGGTAAAACCTTAATATGAGAAGAGTGAGAATATTTAATTCATGTCACCTGTCACCACTGACAATTTCCCCGCAGACAATCCCACTCAAATGGTTATTTTGTGAACAGTTTGCCATATCTTTTTCTTCCCTCATTTCCACTCCCCAGATTGCTTAAAAGCAAACATTCTAAAATAGAAAAGGCATTTTTACCTCCGTTTGCTGGGGATGACCCCCATCTCTTCACTGTCCCCCTCCAGCGTGACTCTCCTGGCTTGCCACCACTCGTCATCAGAGGCGTTGATAACGTGGAGAATATCTCCATATTTAAAACTAAGTCCTTGACTTGGCAGCCCACTGTCCTTGCTCTTGTCATAGTCAAACATGGCTCTGTAGAAATGGCAAGAGAGAACGTCGTTAGGAACCTCTGCAGCACAGATTTCGAATTCTCCCTTTTATTACCCCCTTTTGCCCTGAGCATCCTTCATCCATTTGGTACGAGCACCGAGGACTGACTCTCAGGATTTCAGTCGACATCCCCACTACTGTGGCCACAAATCAACGTTAGTTCCTGCTTCTCCTTGGAGGCTGCAGGGGCAACCTCCGGGCTCCTAAAACTGGGGTATTGTTTCTTTTCTTGGAGACCATCCTATGTGGCAAAGTGATAATGGGAGATATGGCAAAGGGAGTTCAGTACCTGAGATTTTTTTCCCTCCCACTACAAATGTTAAAAGTCACTACAGGGGCGCCTGGGTGGCTCAGTGGGTTCAGCCGCTGCCTTCGGCTCAGGTCATGATCTCAGAGTCCTGGGATCGAGCCCCGCATCGGGCTCTCTGCTCGGCAGGGAGCCTGCTTCCTCCTCTCTCTCTGCCTGCCTCTCTCCCTACTTGCGATCTCTCTGTCAAATAAATAAATAAAAAATCTTAAAAAAAAAAAAGTCACTACAAAGAAGGAAATAATGAAGAGAAACATAAGCATCTTTCTGAAAGAAGCATTTTGTGTTATGAACAAACCCTCTCAGATGTATCAGTCCATACAAGTCTTTTTTTGGAATGGGGAAAAATGGTAACAACTTAAATGTCATCCCATCGGGGACTGTGATCCTTCCACTCACTGGACTATCGGACTGTTACTGAAGTCGAATGGTTGCAGTTCAATCCCTGTATTGTACACCTGAAACTAATATAATGCTGTATGTTCATTATACTGGAATTCAATTTTTTTTTTAAGAAAGAAAATGCCATTAAAACCACAAGAACATAAAAAAATAAACTGAGTGGTGGCAGAGATTAATCCAATGACATGAATAAGTGCTCAAAATGCAATAATGAAAAAATATAATGACACCCATGTTTACATGGGTGTCTACAGATAGATCAAGATTATATGAATAAGGGGCACCTGGGTGGCTCAGCGGGTTAAAGCCTCTGCCTTCGGCTCAGGACATGATCCCAGGGTCCTGGGATCAAGCCCCACATCGGGCTCTCTTCTCGGCAGGGAGCCTGCTTCCTCCTCTCTCTCTGCCTGCCACTCTGCCTACTTGTGATCTCTGTCTGTCAAATAAATAAATAAAATCTTTAAAAAAAAGATTATATGAATAAGACAAATCTTGCTTGCACAGAATGCTAAGCCTACCTCAGCCTTGCACTCATCACTCTGAATTGTAATTCTTGCTTTATGTACCACGTTTCCTTCACTGAAGAGCACATGCTAAACCTTCGCTAAGCCAAACAGACTGTAACAGGTATACATTGGTGGGGTGGGGGAATTGCAAAAAGAACTGGAAGGATGACCAAGATCTTAGTAGCTAGGTGTTGCCTTAAGTAGCTGACAATTTGTATCAAATCTTACATTGTCTGCTTTCTCCTCTATATCCCTGCTACAAACCACCACCACACATACAGCGCACGCACACACACACACACACACACTCCACACATACAATTTCTCAAGAGAAGCAGATTTTGCCACCTCCCTGCTATTTCCCCTTTGATTCCACTCTGGTAATTTCGTTCGAGTGTAACTACTATGCAAACAAAACTAGAGAGATCTGGGGAACAGGTTTTTTCTAAGATCACTGAGGACCAAATATGGTTCTTTTCCTTTCTTCGTTTTTCCCCCTCATTAAAAAAATGTCACATCTGCTGCCATAGCAACCAAAAAGAGCTGAAGACAGCAGGTTGAGCTCAGATACTATAGGAAAATTTGAATTTTCAAAGCAACACAGCTCCTTCTTCCACTAACTCTGTCTCTAAATCATGGCATCTGGGGGAGAGTTTCTCGGTCGAAGCTCCCGGAATGACTCACTTCCACCTTGACCACCTGCATCTTCCCCACCGAAGACTTTGGCTAAAGCTCCACCCAAGCATAAAGGGGCCTACGGAGGGCAGAGGCCCACTTCGGATGCCATCACTTCTCTGGCTGGGCGATGTGACATAAATGAATTAGCACGCCGGAGCCACAGGTTTTTGTAATGCAAAATGAGTCCAATAACTACATTCACATGGAGCTGCTGTGCACATTAATAAGACATACGAGGCTCCCAGCTCACGGGAGGTGCAGTGCAGCAGCTGGAGCGTAAGGGTTAAGAATGCGGGCTCTGAGGTCACACTGTTAAGAGTCCTTTCCTGGTTCTACTACTTCTTGCCAGTCATACAGCTCTTTATCCACACAGGCTATTCACCTTCCTTAGGCCTCAGATTCCTCATACACACCAGCAATGATAACAGTACCCCACCATGAAATTGCTGTATGGATGACATGTGACCTAAGGTAATACCTGTAAAATAAAGCATGCAGGACAATGCCCAGCGCACAGGGATAATCATCAACTACGAACGGTCATTATCATCTTGCCTTTCCCCTGTGAGTGGATATTCACACGAATCCTTTCTATAGATTCTACTCTGTGCAAAAGAGAGTTAACACAGCAAGCTTGAGACTGCTCTCCTTAAAAAGACATGCCCACAAGGATGGCTTTTGGCTGACATCTGGGAAATTAGATTTTTGGGAAGGTTCTCACTATTTCCTATTAGGAATGGCTCACCACGCCTAAACTGTTTGTATAAACAAGCTTTAAGTGGAACATCTGCTTTTCCTCTGTGAGTCCGGAATCGTGGTATGGGCCAGGCAGACGGCGACTACATGATCAACCCCCAATAAAAACCCTGGACTCTGAGTCTTTAATGAGCTTCCCCAGCAGATGACATTTTATACCTGGTGTCACAATTTGTTGCTGGAGAGATTAGGCATGTGCCATGTGACTCCACTGGGAGAAGGCTCTTGGAAGCTTGTGACCAGTTTCCTCTGGATTTTGTCCCTCAATCCTTTCCCTTTGCTGATTTTGCTTCGTATCCTCTCATTGTAATAATTCATAGTCCGCAGGATGATGAGGCTGAATCCTGTGAGCCCTCCTAGTGAGTCACTGACCCTGGCGGTTGTCTTGAGGGTCAAAAGATTGCAAATCATTTTCAAATATACTACCTCATTTGTACCTCAATCCATTCCAACAAAGAAGGTATGAAGGATATAGTATTATTCCCTTTTTTACAGATGAGGGACAGACTAACCTCAGCATGCAAGGGTCAGCAACCTCAGGCTGGAGTTTTGGTCTTCTGCTCTGGAGTCCTAGTGCAATGCTCTTCACTTTGTCCCCCACCCCCACACCTGAGTCTGAAAGGTGGTGACAAGGAGGTAAGAACAATGACCATGAGGGCTACCACTACTTATCCTCGGATTAGGTAGCTTGGCACTTTGTACTGTTGTCTTATTTGACATCATAAGAACCTGAAGGTAAAAATTAGTATCCTCATTTTACAGGTGAGAGAAAGAGGCTCAGGACATTAAAGCACCTGCCCCAGGTCACATGTACGCATGTGGTGGAGACCGCAGCGAGAATATACTCCAAAATCCACATTCTTGGACATTTCATCGTAAGGCTCAGTTTCCCAGCCTGTTTGTCCTCAGGCCGTGCTCACAATTCAGCAGTACTAGGAACTCTTCACCTCCCTTCAAGGCTGACCACTCTCCCCCACTTCCTGCCCCCAAGTCCCCGAAGCTCCTTACTGCTCAGTTCTTGTCTCAGTATTTCTTTTATCTTAAGAGTCTTTGAATCTCTGGTTTAGCTCCAGGCTCCTTCTGAATGTAAAGTGTGGGGAGTGGAGGGAGAAAAGCCATCAGGAAAGCTGGCAGGTGGTTGCCAAGAAGGCAGGGTTTAGGGTCGGACTGCCTGGGTTTGCAACTTTTTAACCATGTGATCTTAAGCAAGCTACTTAGCTTCTTTGGCCTTGAGGTTTCTGAATTGCGAAACTGTCCTATAATAACACCAAACACTTCAAAGAGTTGTGGTGAGGATTAAATGAAACAATATACGGAAGTACTGTGACACCAGCTTGACACGGGCTGGGCTCAACAAATGGTGGCTACTATTGCTACTGTAATTGTTTTTCTGAAAATGGGCTGGTCTTGAATACCCCTATTCTGGGTATTCTGGGTATCTGGGTCCCCACTATGCCACTTAGTAGCCATCTTGTGGACTGTGTATAAAGACATCTACAATCCCTCTCTATCCTTTGAGTCCAGTATAGCACTGGGCACAAAGTAGATGTTCACCATGGTTCTGTGGAAATGTTTCAGACAAACTCTGAAAGCCCTGCTTCTCTCAAGCCTGTGTCCCCATGTGTAAGGGAGGGGAGGAGAGACTTTCCGGTGGTCCCCACCAAGCCAGACATTCAATCTACTGTGTTCCATTCCATTCCCAAGAATCCCTGAGGGAAGGTCCCCCCTCCTGCCTTCAGCAATAGGTGTCCCCCTCCTGCCTTCAGTGACAGGTGTCCCCAAAGAAGGGGCTTGGTAACACACGTCTACCCATTTCTATTTATCTTGGACAATCTGCCCTTCTAGGATTACACTGATTTCAGACTTGTCGGGTCCCGGAAAACAAGCAGTTGATATATTTCAGCAGCTTCTGGCTCCTTTGGATATTAATGGATCTTCATGTCTGGGAGAAATGCTACAGTGCCCCATCACCTAATTTAAAAAATGATAAGCTGTTTTTAATTTGCTTTATGTGCTAATTCATCAGAGCAACTTTTATAAAATGCCATTAAGACTCACACTTTCCACCCAGGGTGCTTTTAACAAGTCCATTAGACAAGTAGAATTAGAGAGGAATAATGCAACATCTCTCCCATCCCTCCTGGCCCTCCCGCATTTCACCACGTGCTGGCCCTTTGCCAACTGGGGAAGTCCAGGAAGGGGAGCAAAGCAACTGCTCACCCTCATGGCTATGCAAACATATGGGGAGATACCTGAGCACCTGATGGAAATTGTACTGAAGTGCCCCACAATGTGCTAAAGACTTTAGAGCTATCATCTCATTCAATGTACTG